AAATTGCTTGTTGTCTTTCATTTTCATGTATGTCTATCAGATCAGTTATCACTGTAGTAATAACTATTAAAATTAGTGAATTTGTATTTTTGACAAATGCTCCCAAACATTAAACTTTAATTATTACATTTTAATTTTAAATCTTAACTTTAATTTAAATTATTACTTGTATAATTTATTATTTTATAATTTTGTTTGTAATCTTATGTTCATTGTATCTAAGCATTTTATTTTTTTGGGACATGGTATTGCTCCCCACATTAAGGAGTGTATCCAGTATGCATAATAAATAAAAATTTGTATTTACATGCTATAGGATTATACAGTATTAAACACATTCTACAGTCAAACATTATTGTATTTGAAAATAATTTTAAAATTAAAATTGTTGTCATAAGCTTTGTGTGGAATACATGTCACAGATCAAGATAGGTTTTTTTTTTAATTCTTTAGTTATCTTAAGTTTTTAATGAAAATTATAATTATTTTTTGTTTTTATCAATATATTTTGGGAATAAATGAAACAATATTTAATTTAATAATAATTTAATCAGTTCATATAATAATTTTATTATGTAATTATTGATAGAATAGTCCCAATTATCCAAGATAATGTGGACTTTTGAGGTTATCTCAGATAATCAAATACTCAGAATTTGATAAATTAGTAAATAAACTAGATTTTGATGCATTAACATTTATACTGTAATTTATTTTTAGATTATATTCCTACTTATTGAACATAATTACTTTTAAATTATATAATAAATAAAATTTCATTAATCTTTTTTGAAATTCATATTATTGTGAGAAATTGAAAGATTAATTTTTTTTTAAAACTTCTATAGTACCTTTAGAGTACTACACATGATCTGATCAAGATGCAAGAAATCAACTGTATTGTACCATGTTCTCTTGTTTTTGTTGAAAAAGTACTTGTCCATAATTCACCTGAGATATAGTGGAAACCAGTTTAAATGAGTTTTACGTAATCAGACTCTGCTGTATTACATGTTCAGGGAATCAAATAAAATATTATAATATTTTTAATTTTAAGTTCAAGTTTAGATAATTATGAACAGCATAATTTTAAAATTTCTAATGATAATGTAAATAAATTTAAATTACTTCTTGACTTAGGTTTAGGTAATGCATACTAAAAAATTTCCACATAAAACAACTCAGTTTAGCATTTTTCTTTAGATTAATATTTATATTTTAGAAAATGTAGTGCTAAGAATATAGATGATAGCCTTCTTTTGTGTGATTATTGCTAAAAGAGAATTTTACAAGTATTATGATAAATTCATTTTTAAAGTAGTTTACAAGTAAGATGTTAGAACAGTAAACTGCTAGTGGTTTTTAAAAATTTTAGTTTCATCATCAGAATATTAATCAAAAATGCAAATTAAAAATGAAATCAATTTTTTTTAGTGTTAAATATAATAATAAAAATATGATTAATAAGGCATTTTTGAAAGTCAGAAATTAGTCAAGTCAATTGAAAACAGTTCATTAAAAATTATTAGTCCAATGGGTTATTTATATGACAGTTTAGTATGCTATAAATGTGCACTCTATAAGTAGATCTTTTCTATGAAAATACTGGCTCACCAAATTTATTTAATTATTATTATTATTAACTGTATTAACAAAAGAAAGAAGAGGGGATCTATAAAAGGTCAAAGAATCCTAGAATTTTTATAGTCTAAAAAGTTTTGAGACCCTAACATAATTCTATATTCTAATGCAGGGATCACCAAACTATGGCCTGTGAGGTCAGTTCATCCAGCCCACCATCACACTGTGCCACAATGAGCTAAAATATAATGTATTTATATGGAAATATCATAGATTGCAGATGAACTTACTATGTAGAAAAATTAAAGTAAGTATAAGAAAAATGGCAAAATTGGTCCAATCTGATTTTTGCCTTTGACAGTAATGTAATATTTAGGAAAATCAGTGAAATGATAAATTTGGTGATTTTTTGTGATATTATTGGATATCAGAGTGCTTTTTGTGTAAGTACCTGCAATGAAGTTTTTAAGAAAAGCGATTATGAGCCTGCTGCAGTGATCGTGTTTGTGTATTGGTAAATAAATATGTTGGATTTCTTTATTTTTTTGTGTATTCAATATACTATATTGAACAAAATGGTTATGCAGCCCATGCTTGTCATTTGCTCAGTTATCTGGCCCGCTGTGAAAAAAGTTTGGTGACCCCTGTTCTAATGTGAAAAAATAAAAGTTCTCAAAAACATTTGCTTTTTCATCTGATCCTTTAATAATAGGTTGGTTGTGTAATAATGAACCCATCTCTTCAATTTAATAATTTTGTGTATAGATCTTTTGGAGTATTAAAATTTCAGATAAAAATAGGAGTGGTCCTGAACAATGTAAGCATAATGTTAATGATTAATAAGAATGAATTGTATGTCAAAACATGCTATGAAATAAAAAGATATAAAACAATATTATAAAACAATTTTAAAAAATGAATAAAATGAAATTCAAATTTAAATACTACATATTTATAAAATTATATGAACATATAATATTATTCCATATATTGTACTTACTTGTGTACTCTATATAATTACTTATGAAAATACTAATCAAATAATCAAGTTGGATTTATTATTGGGCTTGAATATTTGATTAGTAATATGATTTGGATTTGGTTTCTTATGTACTTATAAGAATATTTTGTGACTTGTTGAAATCAACAAAAATTACATCATATCTAGATAGATTACTGATTGACATAACAATAATAAAATCTGTAACCTGAATTATACGTTAAGCAAAAATCAAACTGCCAGAATAATTTTTATGGATTATTTTTTGGGGCAAGTTTATTAAGATATCTTAGAAATCTATATCTTTAAAACTATAAGTTTATTAAATTTTAGGTTTCGAAATAATTAATAAAATAATTTAATAGTTTGATTGCTTCACTAGTAATTAATATTTCATAATTTTAATAAATTTACAAAAAAATCTTTCATTGTCACTTGCATAATAACGTTAATATTTAATGCAGAAGTCTACATAAAATATTAAAAAAAAACTTCAAAATGTAAACATTTTTGGTATTCTTAATGCCATTTGCAAGCTTTTTTTTTTGTTAAAGAAGAGAATTCTATGTTTCTAAGCAATGTGAATATGCTCTCCTTATCAGGAAATTCAGTGTGTTAATTTTGTATCTCATTGGGTCATTTGAATGTGCTGGGATGTATGGTGGTTTCATATTGGTTTTTGTATATGTCTTTGTGGATCTGGCCTCCTGTTAGAAGAATTATTTCAATTAGAAGAAACTCAGAAGACAGGGGTATGTAGAACACTTGCCACAGACAATAATTTTCCTGTCAGCATGGAATATGTAAGCTACATTTCAAGAACATTCAGCAAATGAATTCAAGAACATAAATATGGTATTTTCAAAAAGAAGTATACTATGGCATTATCAGAATTTGCATTGGAGGAAGGCAATATATAGTACAATGAGAGAAGGCTAGAATCATTAAGTAAGTTCATGACAAATATGCCAAGTTATTTGAAACATACAAAGCAACAAAAAAGATGCAACAATCATTTTTAACACATGGAAATTTGTGATAGAAAATAATGGCAGCATTATTTTCAACTACACATTGCAACTATGACAATGCTGATTCAAATTAATTCAAAACATGTCACTGATAAATGGTCTTAAAAGAAATGTAATGCATCAAATTTGACATACAGTAAGACCATGCTTAGTGCGGGAGATGCGTTTCTAGACAACAAAGCACTAAGCAAAATAGTGTTAAATGAGGTCATTTTAACATAGAGTAAATAGGAAAAGGGGAACACCCGATCAAAAATAAGAAAATTTTACTATAATTTTAAGTTATTTTTATATTAATTTGCATAATAATATATCTTAAATAACACACAAACATATACACACAGAAATGTAAAGTTCATTTTTTGTGATGAAGGTCCTGGCTCTTCTGAAATTTTTGTTTTTTGCGATAAAGTCATGTAGTTTCATTTGTTGCTTTTTTTCTTTCTTTAAGCAAATGTTGGTAGCAGAAGATCGTATCCAAAATGCCTCGTTTTGCTTTTGTACTCTTTTCAAAATCTGGATCATTTGCTACAATTTGATCAATAATTTTGATTATTGTTACCAAAACTTCTACTAAAGAAATCTGTAGAGAAATTCTTTGGGTTCTTCATTTTCAGAATCTCTATATTCCAGTTCAACATGAATTCCTTGTTCTGCGAGTTCTTGAAGGTCATCATTGGTAAGGCTCTCACCAGAAACCTGCAGTAACTTCTCAATATCCTGCTCATCTATATCTCCTAGTCCTGCTGTATCGATTAGCTCTTCTCATTGAGAATTCTTGAATACCTTCAGCCATAACTTCTTCCACACTTTGTTCATGTAGTTATCAGTTAATTCTTGCAAAGAGAAGTAGTCAATATTGCCTATGGCATCCATGATGATATATTTTTTTCCAAAATTGCACCAAACAAACAGATTTAAGGAAAGTACATCACTATGATGAATTGCCGCCTTTTGCTGATTGGTTTGTGCTTGGGAATAATTGTATTATATATGAATAGATTAGTGTAAATTTTGAACATATTTTAGGCTTCGAGCAGACCACATTATATTGAATCAGCGTTAAGCAAGGTCTTACTGTATTTGAATTAGAGAAGCCTGAGGAAGGTTATAAAGAATCTGAAAATGTTAGTTGAAAAGGAAAATTAATGTTGGAGTGAAAAGTTAGATAAATTTTAGATTATTTTAATAACTTTAAACTTATATAAGGAGAAGTTTAGAAATACAATATGGAATATATGAAAAAAATGTTTTTATAAACTGTAGAGTCAGTTTAACATTTTCAGTATAATTATAAATTTTTCTTGAAATTTTGAACACTTTTTTTCTCTCTAAAATTTCATATTATTATTTATTGAAATTTTCATTTTTGTATTTTCCATTTCCAGTTACAATTAGAGATCCTTCAAATATAAGTTTTACTATTAGAAGTCTACATATTATTGTAAGAGATATGAAATATCAATCACCTTCACCAGTAACTGCAAAGAAAATGATGCATGATGCTGTTTTAAATACTTATACAATTGCAACAGATGATGTATTATGTAACCGGCTAAATAATGGAAATTATTCCTTAAAATATTTTTGTAAGTATTTGTATTTCTTTAATTTTCAAAACTACTACAATTTTTAATAATTTATTTTCTGTAACTATTTTCTTATTTTAGCTTCCACACCATGGTTTGAAGCCTATAGAGAAGTATTTTTTCAAGTAATGTATCCCTCTGAACATGAATTTACACACCATTATTTAGCTTGTATCCTTAAATAATGATGAAAATATTTTCATATAAAATTTATAAATAATTTACTGCTAAACATTTTTTTTCACAATGGAAAAAAAAATCAAATATAAAGTAATTATATAAGGCAGGTTCAGTAGAAAACCTAAAAACTGCTTAACAATATTTATTTTTTGCTTTTTATTGCATTTTATAACAAAATAAATATATAATTGAAGACATTAGTTCTTATATATATTATTACTATTTTAACAACTACAGGCATACCTTGACTTACGTCGTTTCGAGTTACGTCGTTCCCGATTATACGTCGTTTGTCAAAAAAGTATATGGAAAAATAAAAATCAAGTTTAAGTCATTTTATTCGACTTTACGTCTGTCTGCCACAAATATTGAAGTCGTAATATCACTAGAAAAACGTTTAAAGCACATAAAATCATATTAAAATATATACAAGTATGTACTGTATTTACAGTACATGCATTCGTGAATTTAAATTACTTTTTTTCTGTACTATATTAAAAAACTAAAATTTATTTGTTTGTAAGCTTAAAATAGATTTTTATTAACCACATATTATTAAAAATGCATTAATAGATAAAATACAGAACCGGGAATGGTAATTTATGGTTTAGCCTAGTGATAAGTAGATTCGGAGACAAGTAAATTCGACTTACGTCGTTCTCCTGGAACCAATTACCGATGTAAGGCGAGGTATACCTGTACATGAATATTCTCATTTCAAGATGAAAGTCAGAAAGCTACATAAAAAACTGGAATCTTAGCATATGATGTACTGTAATTCGAAGCATTTCTGTCTTAGTTGTTTTAATTCATGTTACAAAAGCTACATCCATGTAATCATCTGCTTGGACTTACCAGCATTTTAAACGTACATTTGAAAATCATGATTGCTGAAATAGATATTTGGGAGCAGTTTTTAGACGAGTAATAATTGTAAAGCTTTTTTATAACAACTTCAATCAAGCTGAGACTATCCTAATCTTAAAGAATCTCCTTTAATAATTTTGCCAACAGAATTAATAAAATTATCTTGCCAAGTTAATTGACTTTATAATAAAGTATCAATGTCAGGTATGATATGACTAGAAAAACACTTGAGAATGTAATCCTGCATCACTTTTAAATGGATAAAACTGATTCTTTAGACAGATGAAGATTTTTGTATCTAAAAAATTTTATCCTCAGACCTGTATAAGATAAAGGTGAGTCAGTTCTCTGTTTCCTTTGCAAATAAATTCCAAAACATTGAAAGTAAATTTTGAATATTATATAAGCTTATATAAGCTTATATTGATAAAGCAATCATTCCTGTTAGAGCCATACCATACCATTTTGCCATTTTAGACTTTCTCAATTCCAAGTAGCCCTTCAAACATCAAATATATTACAGATATTATTTATGTTAAAATTTTTTGGTCACTTTTATTTGATTTTTTTAATCACAAAAATCACTTTTGATCAGTGGTAGTTAGTCTTCTTGATGATTTAAGACATGACTCAATAATTATATTGCTAGTAGGTTATAAATGCCAGCTCTTTTCAACACTGTAAAGTAAATTTTTTGATTAAAATAATTATACATGTTTAAAATGATATTCCTAAATTGATCTTGTGAAGTTTTGTCCACTTTACATACGGGGTAGTCCCAGAAGTATCCAACCTAACAAAGAAGACACACAAAATTTGGGAAAACATATCTTTATTTCTCAACGTAGTCTCCTTCTAGCTCAATACACTTTTCCCAGCAATGTTCAATAGCTATGATACCCTGTTTATAGTGAGAATTGTCAAGCTTCTCAAAATAGCCATCAACCCTCTTCATTGTTGGCAAATCTTTTACCACAGAGCCATTTTTTCAAGTTTGGAAAGAGAAAATAATCCGAGGGGGCTAAGTCTGGCGAATAGGGTGCATGAGAAAGTAATTCAAACCTTAACTCCTTGGTTTTGGCCACTGCGATAACAGATGTGTGAACTGGTGTGTTGTCTTGAAGAAACAACGCTTTCTTTTTTGCCAAATACGGCTGTTTTTTCTTGATTTCATCACTCAAGTGCTGCAATAAGTTTGCGTAATACTTGTCGTTTATTGTTTTTCCTTTTTGAAGATAAGCAATGAAAATTATCCTATGCACATCGCAAAAAACTGATGCCATGACCTTGCCAGCAAATGGAACTGTCTTTGCCTTCTTTAGAGCCGATTCTTCCTTTTGGTCCATTTTTTCGACTGTTCTTTCATCTCCGGCGTAAAGTGATGGACCCATGTTTCATCCATGGTTATGAATTGATGCAAAAACTCGGCTTTATTGCTGCGAAACATCGCCAAACACTTGATTGAATCATCCTCACGATGCTGTTTTTGTTCCACTGTGAACAAACGTGGCACCCATCTTGCGCAAAGCATTCTCATGCTCAAATTTTCAGTCAAAATGCAATGTACAGCACTTTTTGAAATGCCTACCATGTCTGCTAGCTCTCACACTTTGAGTTGACAGTCATCCAATACCACTTTGTGGATTTATTTCACCATTTCTGGCATGGTCACCTCATTTGGTCAACCACTGCGATGCTTGTCTTGGCAGCTCGTACAGCCTTGTTTAAACTCTGCCACCCAATATTTTATTGTTGTAAATGAGGGAGCAGACTCTCCCAGAGTAGAATCTAGCTCAGCTTTAATATTGGTTGGACTGAGACCTTTCAAATGAAAGTATTGTATCACATAACAATGACCAATTTTTCCATGTTTACAAATTAACTAAGATTATTCACTGTTGATGGCTGTCAAACAAATACTAAACAACATAGCATCTTCAAACTTCAAACTTAAGCTTTATAAAGTTGGTATTTTTGACCACAGTAATTTTTTCAAACAACTACTGCCATCGATACATCAGATCAGGTACTTCTGGGATGACCCTTGTACAACATAATTACTTTATTCTATTTTGCTAACAAAATTGAAACTAAAGATGACATCATTACCATTTTGCTTTATTTGTCTCATTTTCTTTTTTGCTGGATCACCAGACTTTGGGAAAGTATGGTGATCCAGCAGAAAATGACCCTCTGGACTTGGGACCTTAAAACTGCAAAGAAATGCAAAAAAAATTGGGGTGTGTTGTGGGGGGCACAATTTTGTTCACCCTCTTGTGAAGCTCCTGTTAATAACTCCTGTGCTTTTGTTAAACATTTCTGAAATTTGCAGGGAGGATTGATGGTATTAAATTTTGGTGTTTAAAGGTCAGAGGGGTGGGGGAGATAAAGGGTGTCATGTATATCTCCAGTAGGATTGGACTTAATGACAATTTTACTCATTATTAGCATTCACAGTTTTTATAAAATCCATCCCTACCCTCAAAATTAGACTTTTGCCATTTTATAATAATTAAAAATTAGAAAGTTTTTAATAGTAAATGTCATAACAGATGGTACCACCAAATGTTGCCAGAAAAGTTAAGCAACTCGTTAAATTTTACAGAGTATAAAATAATTTTATATTAATTAAAGAAATATTTGTATACAATTTAAAATATTAAATCATTTTTTTGAAACAGAAGACAATAGTAAAATTTTTGTGTAACATTTCTAAACAGTAAATAGTTGAATAAAATAGAATTTCAGCTTCTATTATATGGCGTAACATTACAATCCATAAGGTCTTTATCATATAAGGAATCTCATCTTTGGATGAACAAGATATAATTAATGATATTTTAATACTTAATGCAGTTTAGGTAGTTCCTCTTTAAATACTGTTTTTTTTTTTGTTTCACTGATTTTATAATTACATCTAAAATGAATTATTAATGAATATAAAATGAAAGAAATGGAATGTTTGAGAGGTTACCTTCAAAACTGAATACAGATTAAGTGACATATTTTCAATAGCAAATTTAGAAGCATGAAGTGTTCTGTGGTATGAATTACAAGAAATTTTTATTTTCGTTTTAGCAAGTTTTTGCAGATTATATTCAGGAAATTACAGGTTAATCAGAAACATTTTACATGAGAGTATGTTATGAAATAAGATATGCTATCATATAAGGTGTATCATCAATGTATTGAAAAAATATTGTTTGACAGTTGCACATTAAAAACAATTAATGTATTAAATTGAACTAGCATTCAAATATATCATTGCCTTAAATGAAATAATTTTAATATGTCTGAATAACTTTAAAAAATTACTGAAATTTTTTTTTCTTTCAAAAATATAGATTCCTTAACATTTTTTTAGGTATATTTGTAGTATCATCCAGTCATGTTGATCCTATAGGACAAATTAATGAATTAAATCATCAACAAGAACAATATCAACAGCAGTCTTCTAGTCATAGTGGTACTATATTAAAAAACTAAAATTTATTTGTTTATCCATTTTCAAATTAAGATCNTGTTTGTACTCTGTATGCAATGTGCTGTAATGTTAAGTTTAATTTACATTTTAATAAAATGTTTAAATAAAAAATTTATAATAATAAATATTTTTGTTAATAATAATCACAATGTAAAAATGTTGGTATATAAAGAATGTTTTATTATAAATTATTAAATAATAATAATTAAAACAATTTTAATTTTATTTACAGGGCAGAAGCAGTTTATCAAAATATGAAAAGTACATATGGTGCTGGTGTTTGTCATTTGTTACAGATAAATTCAAAGACACTTAATGAGATGAATAATTTAGAAAAAGATGAAAATGACGAATCTGTGAATCTCCCTGATCCATGGAGTCAGTTTTTAGCAAAGACAATTGATCATAATGTAATTATAAGTATTTATTTAAAATTCTTTTAAAAATAATTCTGATTTTAGTAGGAAAAATTAAATTATAAATAAATTAGTTTTAAAAATATTATGGTATATAAGCTATATTCAATTCTCCACATCACAAAAAAATCCCATAAATGGTAACACTGATTCTAATAACTGATCCATGATATAAGTATTGAAATAACAAATATAAGTATTGAAAATATAATAAAGTATTATATTTTTAATTAATGAAATTATCAATAGTCTGTTATATTGTCCATCTAGTCACATTTTAATAGAAACTTAAATTTTTATTTTAAAAATCATCATTCAGTAATTAGATTTGATTGCCATAAACAGTATCTTAACTATTATTTTTTATTTTGAATCAGATAGTCAATGACAATAAAACTCAAATTTATTATATTAATTAAGCATTTTTAGAATTCAAAACATAATTCTGAGAAGTGAAAATTATAACTAAAAATAAATTATCTTCTTAAAAAAATGTTTTGATTTTAGTGATTAAATTTTAAGTTTTGAAGGTATTTAAAGAAATATATTTATTGATTATTATAATTTAGGAGTTATAGTTATAAGTTATAAAATTATAATGTATTTTTTCTTTTCATAATTTTTTTTGCTTCTTTTTGTAATGAGAAGGAAAATAACTGGAAAATTTTTCATGAATTCCTTCTTATAAATAATGAAACAAATTTTCCTAAGGAAATACAGTTTATTTCAGGAAAAGTACATTTTTTTGGATATATTAAGGGCTACATAATGTTATTTTATATTTATTACACCAAAAGGAGTAAGAAGTAGAAGTATATAAAATAAACATATAAATTAATACATTTTAGGAATGTTAAAAAGTTTTTCAAAATACAACTTGAAAACTTTCAGTGTGCTAACTCACTAAGTAATAAGTTAACTTCTGATTAATAAAAATTAGAGTATGAACTAATTAGAAAACAGCCAAGCAACACAGTCTTTTGGAGAAACAATGTAAACATTTGCTAGGAGATTACATTACAAGAGAAAGTAGCTGAAAAATGCAGAGTAACGGTTTATAATTCAAAACTGGTATAAGTTTTTAACGAGAGTTAAAATGTTTAGCAGTGAGTTTAGCATATAAAATGAGAGTTTAGCATATAAAAATAAAAAAAAAAGTGGAACATTGTGTTAATTGTCTTTTAAAACATCTCAGAAGTAATAAAGATAGAATAAAATACAATACAATAGGAATATGTTAAGTTCCATTGATATACAAATGATACAAAGAAAATATATTAGAAGAATGATGAAAATTTTAAAAGAGTGAAGGAAAATTTAATTAAGCATTTTATATTTAATTAAACCTTAAAAATTATAATTTATAATTAACAAAAATTAAAATTGTCATGATTAATTCTAATGATTCAGTTATTTAAAGTTATTTCTTTTGCTATCTTATTATTATTATTATTATTATTTTTTAAATTTATTACTTCAAACTTGTCAACTGAACTAAAACAATTTTTACTTTAATTATAACTATTCAGCCATTTATGACGTGATTATTGAATGTTTTTCATTACAATTTATTAATAATAAATTTTTTATAATGAGACAATAATTTCGTGTAATTATACTGTAGGAACATCAACAATTTGTGTTTTTTTTAAATCTGATCATTGTTCCTTTTCTGATAATTCTAAATTTATCTGCATTCTAATGAGTTTTATTTATTGTTTGAATTTCAATTGAAGATAAATTATTTTTTGTAAAATTTTCCTTATATTTTGTTAAGTTTGTAAGATATAATAGATGTTGTTTTGTCTTATAATTTTTATTCTGATATTAAATATTATTTATTATTATTTTAAAAATATTATTTCCGTAAAATGGTTTCAAACTTTGTGTTATGTCCTTTGAATTTTCTCAAATATTAAGTTTTGTTTTTTCACTAATTTTGATTAATGGTGCTGCAACTGATGAAAAGAGACTATTTTTATAATAACAGTTTGCTTTTTTAGATAATCCATATAGTGTTCTACAAACTTTTCATTTCAATATGTTATATACAGGGGGAGAGGTGCAAAAGTAGGTATACAATTATTATTATGGAAAAAAACATACAGGGAGAAAATAGGAAAATAAAACATTTATTTTTATGTACAAATTAAATCAGAAATAAGGAATATGGACTAATGAAAGATAATAAAAATAATAATAATGAACACCAAACATTTGTATTTCTCAGATTCTCAACTGTACATTTACTTTTGCACCCCCCCATATTGTCTATTTTTGCATATTGTCTGCAGACTATACAGTGAGAACAGTTACTGGTAATGACATAACATAGGGCACATTTTAAAGTACAAATTCTACTTGGTGTGTGTGCTTGATGTTGGTGATGTTTCAATGAAACTCTAATTAAATACATGAAGGAAAGAGTTTATTATGTGAAGAAAATGGTTCCCAGCTATATCAATGTTTCTAAATCTTCTTGAGTGTTTAAATTGTGGATTAAAAGATGAAATGATTCAAATAATTGTCCATCTGAAGCAATCTAAGAAAAATATTTCAGATAAGATGTCACTAGCAACATTCATAACTTTGATTCTAGAAACAGCCATTTTGTTGTACATGAATCAGTCGGAATGTCTGACAAAAGTAAGAATAATGAGGACATCATTCCTGTTTAACTTGTTTGACTTTATGAACTTAGTAACGGGAAATCCTTATGGATCAGTTATTGGAATCAGTGTTGCCATTTGTGGGACTTTTTGATTTGGAGAATTTTTGATGTAATGATAAGGTAGGGGAGGGATCATGAGAAATTTTATTTTTCAGTTAATTGGAGTTTATTTTTGAGGAATACTTGTTACTAGATTGGTATAACTGCTGTTTTGTAGTGAGGTCTGAAATACAGAAATGGAGTTGTTACTGATGTTCTACTGTTAGTAAACATGAAGAGTTGCACAATGAAAATGCTGATGAAGGGAGTTGCATTATCAATAAACTCATCATAGTCATACAATAATGGTAATGAATTTAATGGTTGGAATTTCAATTGTTCCTGAAAAATGCAACACAAATGTAGAAATGATTTGAAATAAAACAGTTATTAGTATCAGAAAGAATTTTTAATTTAATTTGTACATAGTCCATACATCCTGATGAGATAAAGTTTTTAAATATATAGTCTGCAGACTATCACTGCAGGATAGGGTAAGCCCTTTATTATTTAGTTTTCATGAAATTAGTTCTTTTCAATTCAATAATTTAATTATTTTATATATAATTGTCTGATATTTCAAACTGTTCTATATAATAACAACAACAATAACAAAAAATGTTAAAATCAGTTAAAGTTACGATTAAAATTACTATTGAACTTTTTTGTTGTTTAAGAAAATATTGTTCAGAACATCGTATTTTATATAATGTGAAGGACTAATGTATTCAGTAATTCCTAGTAGCATTAAAAATTTATGAAAAATATTTTTTAAATTTCTACTTATATATATCAAGATAATTTATTTTCTAGACATCTGAAAATGAAGCAAGTAAGTTTCCTGAAGAAAATCATTTCTCATTTCCTGAACACATTTATGAAGATCAACCAGAAGAAATTGGTATATAAAATTTTTAAATGTTTATGATTTAATACTGATATTTTCAAAAATAAATAACATGATTTTAGAGATGATAATATAGTCTTTAATTTTAAAAAATCACATCATTTCATTTAGTTTACATTTTATGCAATCATAATTTTTAAATTTATTATTAAAATGTTTATTTTGATTATACATTTGAGTAAAATTTCTTCTAGTGATAAATTTAAAAATATAATTATCTTAAAATAGTATTAAATAACATTAATAATTACATAACAGATTTTTTCTTATTTATGTAATTCTTCTTTTTATTTGTGCTTAATATTATTTTCTGATGAGAAGGTTGTCTGTTAAATCTATTAAATCATTTATTATAAAGATCTTTAACATTTAAAATTTCTTCTATTCAGATATGCATATGTTTATCACAAGACAATAAATATTCATCTTGTTCAGTGTTTTGTCAACTGTATGGTTTAATTTTATGAAAACAAATCTATTCAAAATGTGAATTGAATGAAGCCAAATATTCTAAAATAAACCATAAACATTATGAATTTTAAATTTGAAGTGTAAATAATAGTATGCTTGATAAGTAGATGCTAGGGTTAAAACTGTCCAATCCTAACATATTACAAACAGCATTTTAAAGTATTTTAGTTCAATTTTTACTTAGTTATTACAGAACAGATAATTAATCTTGCAGTTAGGATAAAAACTGTTTTAAAAATAAAAAATCTGTCAACATATATAAAATAATTGTCTTATTTATTGAACGTCAAACTTTTGTGAATTAGTGATATTTCAATCTTAGTGATGTGATTTATTGAATAGTCTTTATATATAAATAAATAAAATGAGAAATTCTAGTATTTTTATTTTATTCAATGTAAAGTTGAAATAAAAATACACTGTAGATCTGCTACAGTGCAAAATTTTTATAACAAAGGTTGAATGAAAATAAATAACAAACAATGAATACAACATTTCTGCATTAAAATTTGCAACCATATGGAATTATGTCATTTCTCATCTGCATGAAGTATAATACTCTTTAACATATTGTAGAAAAGAAAAAAAGAAATATTAACGTTAAAAATATTTTATTTTCATTTAACGTTTAAATTGTCATTCAAATGCAATTACAGTAGAGCATTGATTATCCGACTCGATTGGGGTTGGTCGGATAACTGAAAAAAACGGATAACCGAAAAATATGAAAAAATACATTAGTATAGTATATTGTTATATCCCATGTAATTAGTATATTAGTATATTGCTATTAACCTACTTCGCGTTGAATTTTAATCGATGTTAAGCCTAACAAAAATATTTTAAAAATAATAATGGTTGCTATTGTATCGTTAAAAATTAGAAAATTAAGCCTCATTTAAATACTGGTTCCCTTCCATGGTCGAGCCATGTTGCCAGCTAAAACACGTAAAAATACTATTAAAGTAGCCAAGACATAGCCAAATATTGTAGTGCCACATCACTAGCGGACATTTGAATTTGCCGACTAGAAAGGTCAGTTAACCGATAATAACAGATTAACCAATGTGACGGTTAATCGGGAGTCAGATAATCGATGCCCTACTGTATTTGAATTTGTTTTTATTTCAATCTTTAATTAACCTATTCCATGTTGAAATTTTTCTTGTTGCGTATCATACCATGTTGAATTTTTGTTGATGTTAAGCCTAATGAAAATTACACATTTTTGAAAAAAATAATCATGGCTATTGTATCATTCAAAATTATTTTTTTATTTTGCACAAACAAAATAGGTATATTAATAACTGTAAAAACAAAACAAATTATATTTCGGAAGTTAGTTTTAATATAAAAATTATAACAGCTAGCAGTATCTAGTTTCAAAAATGTTCTGATGCTGAAACGAAATATCTCATGTCATTAGGTCACAACCTGAGATATGTTGGGAATACCAAGGAATAGGTTAACTGAGGAAGCTTTTCTTGCCAAAAAAGCAAAACTAATTTTAATTGATTAATAAAAGTACAGTAGACCCGCGGTAATCTGGCCCCTGTCTAATCCACACTCCATATAATCTGACATGCTTATATGCAGTTCAGTATGCAATGGACTGAAGAGAATGGTGCATCGTACAATGAACTTTTACTTCTGAGGAGACTGAGAGACAAGGCTTTACTCTCGCATTAAGCCAATGTAAAACAAAAGAAAATTGATGAATATTTGCATGCACCATAAAGTTATTTGTTTATCCATTTTCAAATTAAGATCATACATAGTATTTACCTTGGAAATACTTACATATGTTGTATGTAATTGATTGACATCAATATGTTTAGTTATTATTTTTTTGCAAGTGCTATAGCGTTAATGATGATAATTTTACAATAAACCCTATGCTATCTATTGTGTTGTTTAATTCACTAAGTCCGATATCGTATATTATGTAGTACATATAGATGTGATCTTACCATTTTTATAAGTATGTAATTTGTCAGATTACAAGGTACTCCTTTTCAAAAAAGTTCTGTACTATAAGGGGTCGGTTGACAGTATTCTATAATCTGACAAATTCGATCATCCGACACTGCCTTGCAAAATGTTTATTGGATTACCGCGGGTCTACTGTATTGTGGAAAATGTGAAATTATTTATTTTGATTCAACTATTTTTCATTAGATAAAGTAAGAAAGTTAATTCAATCCTAGTAAACAATCAAAGGTTGGCTCTCATTAGTCAGATGGCTAATCATTTAAGGCATTAGCCTATTGCTCTGAGGACCTGAGATCAAATTCAGCAAACAAGCCCAAGAATTTTACACAGGCAGTCTATCTTAGATATGTAGGGTCCCATCCCTCACCATCAGGCTGTTTCCAATATGGGCCTGGCCAAACCAATGATGAGCATGGAAAAAGGCACTCTTAGTGCTTACAAAGTGGAAAAAATAAAGGAAAAATTGTTTCAATTTCATATCTTTCAAATTTGAAAGAAATCTTTGATTTCAGCATCCAAAAAGATCAGTGTTATTTATTTCATATCTATTACAGCAAAATATATAAACTCAATACAGTATATTGTGGGCTCATTTATAACATTGACCAAATATTTGTATTTTATTATCCACATTATATAGTTCTTCAGTATATTGATGCAATTTTTTTAGACAATAAATTTATTCATGAAATGGTGTCTCTTAATACATGTTGTTGATAAACATTTGGACAGACCCTAAGATTTACTTATTTATTATAACTAATCATTTAAGATATTTTTTTATATTACATTAAATTGCCTGCTGAAAAATCAGTTTTCATTTGGGATTTTATTAGGTTATAAATAAAATGTTTTTAAATAATATACCTAGCTTTTTAAAGATATTTGTCAATGTTATTTATATATTTTGTTTTATGTTGTTATAAATATTGTAATAATTATTTCTATTATAATAGAATAAATGTAATTGTTTTACTGTATAAAGTGTGAAATTTGACAGTTTTTCTGTATTGTTTTATTTATATATTTTATTCAATTGCTATTTCTAAAAAATTATTGAAATTTTGTTTTTATTATTTATGTGTCAGTCATTTATATTATAACATAAATACAAAAAACTAAAAAAATATTATATACATTTATATCAATTCTTGATGATATTAAATTACAGTAGACCCCCCTATAACATGGTAGATACGTTCCATTTTATATGAATTCTGTGTTTTACGAGTCACTTAAATACATGAGCCATCACAGCCAGGCATGTGTGCAGTTTAAGGACTATGGCTGTTTGAAAGGTTTTCTTCCATAAAATTAATCGATTCTAGACTAATTTGATGCAACATTTCCAAATCATGTATAATTTTTTGGGAATAATCCATATAAACTATGCTATAAACAAAAAAATTGTAGGATTACTTACCGAGTGTGCACCATTTGACGACGCCATTGCTTAAGCTTGTTTTCGTCGCAGAGCAGTGCATTGAATGGCGGACGCGTGTTTTCTGATAAGTTATTTTTCTGTGAAAAATTTGCTGAACTTTGGAGACATCATTAATAAAAATATAATTTTTATGGCTGTTGAATAATAAATGTTTTTTAGTAGATCCGCTGCTCGTTTAAACTCAACTGTTTGTGCAATATCTGCTATTGGTCTAGATTCGACCGATCCTGTCGCGACATTAGTCAGTGATGACATTTTACCTAATTATACGAGTCTCTTTTAGCGTGTTTATACGAATACGATCGCAATTTTTTCACTGTGTTATACGAATCAATATTATATGAACCCATGTTATAGGGGTCTACTGTATTATTATAAGTTCAATAAAGTGAATTCAATTAGATTATATAAATGAAGCAAATAATGTATAATATTTTAAACATTAATTCTTTTCAGATGGTATTACAGAAAATAATTTATCAATTCAGCATCCTCTTTCTTTAAATACAGAAAATGAATTGCCAACATCAGATTCTTTTGTGAGTATTATGCAAAAAGTATAATATATTTTTTATTCACATATATTGAGAAATTTTAACTCTAAGCTCTGTAAATTTCTTTCTCTGTACTTGAAGATGAAATTGTTTTTATCCCTCAGGCTACAAAGGGAACTTGTATAGAAAAACTAGTTAAACAACTTTCTTTTTGGCTGATTTTGTCTCAAACAGATGAAGCCAATTTTGGCTGATTTCATGTTCAAAGAGTTAATAACATGGATATAACTAGATAAAATGTGTATATATTTATTCTAACAGTCTAATGGAGCAGCAATCTTTTAATTCATTGATGATAATCAGATCATTCCAATTGAAAGAAGCTTCATGATCTTTGTGCTAAAGCTGTATTTCCTGAATTATCTTTATACACTGGATTATGGTGCTCTTTTGTCCTTTTGCTTAATGATCTAAACATTTAACTATCAGTTTTATTATGTGGGCTCTGCATATATCAATAGATTATTAAAACAAGTTTTTAATTTCTGTGCTTTTTCATTTTTTTACAATTATAAGTTATTAAAATATTAACTAGGCTAAATTTTAGTTTTAGTACTTGAAAATATTACAAATTATCAATAGTTATGGCTATGAATTTATGTTTGACTTTATAGATTAAAATTTTTCTAAAAATGTCAATAATTATGTGGTTTATTCTGTTTAAATTTTGAACTGTATAGAGATTGTGTTTATTTTTCGACTTAATGAATGAATTTGGAAAAATAACAAAGGCTTTGTCCTGAAACAGTTGCTGACTGTGGAAATCTAAAATTCTTAAAGGTTGTATTTTGCTTGTAGTAAGCTTCATATAGTAAGCTTTATGTCACTTTTTCTTAGATAAAATTAGGAAACTTAATTTTTTGAACCTTGTAATATTGGAGGAAAATTTCACTTGTTACACAAATGGAATTATTTACTTAACTAGTAAAATATAGTTAGGGTACACAGTTACGGTATATCATGAGAATGTACACTAAGAAGGGATTTTTTGAAATTCCCTCGTGAATTAAGGATTAACCAGAAGAACTCAGCTTCTACTGTACTACTTTAGATGTAGTTTTTGTGTTTTTTTAGGAAATCAAACATATTTTTTAGAACCATCTAAAAATTCTCTAATTGTATCAGAAGAGTGGGGACCTAATTCTTGCACCCTGTGAAAATGGGTAAGATCAGCTATAATCTAATAATCTTAATATTCGCTGCCATTTCTTTTTGCCTAAGTGATGCTGGGCTCATTTGCTAGTTTTTAATATTTTAAAATGCATGTTTTAATTTTAATTATTTTTGGCATTTATGTAAAAACTAGCTGTTACCCGCGACTTCGTCAGCGGAGGGTTTGCAAGCAAACCCCATTTACATCCAATATTTCAATAACCATAGTAATTGTTATATAACACCTACCGCTGAAGAGAATTGCCGAAAATCAAACGAACTATTTTCAATTTGATCAATTTTCTGAAACGTTTACAATCGTTCTATAATCGAACCAATACGCAATAACAAATTCGAATTTAAAAC